ATTCCTGCTAAAACACGCGTTACTCATCCCCCCAAACAAATCCTAGGTCCCCTGGCATCCCAAAAGCAAACCCTCCTGATGACTCAGGTCTTCGTCTTCCAGATCTGGTTCCCTGTTCCAAACCAACATCCCTCCAGCTAATTTCCCGTCTCTCCTATCTGATCTGATCAAAGTCTTCCTTCATGTGCTGTTTACGTATCGCTCTACCTCCTAAACAGCTTCATGACCACCGTCTTTCTCAAGGGCCCCATGGACTGTCTAGAGATGTCCTGTTACGTTCAAAAGTACCTAATGTAGCTACAGATGTGCAACTAATCTTGTTGAATAGATATTTTAATAGACTTATTTTGGATTTCTAATTTCTACTTAATGATACAGTCATTTCTATTACGAGATCGTTACCATCTATCTTATAAGGAATTCAAAGAACTAGAGTATCTTTTCTAAATCCTCTCTGACTCTGCTCCGCCACAATCCAGAATGGTTCTTTGTACAACAGGAAGCACTTGGTAAAGTCTTCTAGCTTCCTGACTAGAAGAACTATATCATTATAGACTTCAAAACCATTATGAACTGCCTTATAAGCATCAAACCTGGAAATGGGAGTGACAACTCACAATGACCCAGATTGTTTCAGAAAACAAGGGAAACAGCGTCACCGCTCTGGTAACAACTCTGAGTACAGTGTCATGTTTCAGATAGAAAGTTCGCTTAGGCTTCTGTTTTTATACTCAAATGAGAAGAATGAAAAACGTTTGTGAGGCTTCCCTGGTGGCGCAGTGGTTGCGAGTCCGCCTGCCGATGCAGGGGATACAGGTCGTGCCCTGGTCCGGGAGGATCCCACATGCCGTGGAGCGGCTTGGGCCCGTGAGCCATGGCCATTGCGCCTGCGCTCCACAACGGGAGAGGCCACAGCAGTGAGAGGCCTGCGTACCGCAAAAAAACAAACAAACAAAAAAAAACGTTTGTGTTTTCAATAAGACCACATTTTAGCACGTTGAGGCAAAACAGGCGTAGGCAATGACTTGCCAAAGCAAAAGAGAACAGCTAGAAGCAGATGCCTAACTGCAGAAACCATTAAATTTTTGCACCTTAATTTTTGGCAGATTTCGAAGTCAAGTACAACTCGATAGGAGTAAGGAATAAATAAACAGCAGCTCTAGACATCTGGTGGTGTGGAAGAGATATTTTGGACTATCAGATAAATATTCAGATGGTAAAACTTGTGGCTGGTTCCTCCCTCACTAAGCAACTGTGGTGAATGCTCGTGGTGGGCAAATCGATGGAGAAAACCAAAACTGCAACCTGCAGACTTCATGATTCAGGTCGAAGGTGACATCCTGTCCCGTTAGAGGCACAGTGCACACCTGGAAAACCATGGGGCTGACCCCTCAGAGGAGCCAGCCCGCTTCTGCCGCCGCACCGGGGATGCCCTGACAACTCTGCCCCGGATTCGGCTGTCCTGGTTCTTCCCCAGCTGACGACTAGGCTGTCAGTTCTTTTTCAAGAATATGTCAGTTTCTTCAACCAAGTTCCAGTCAAGTTGCAACCAGGGAGCCATTACCTGCCTCTCCAAGTGACTTTGCTGCCCTATGGTCTGTGCATCTCAGCACTTAATTCTCTGCAGTTAATCTTCCTCTGTTTTCATGTAGTTCTAGGTCAGGGTAGCTCATCATTGCCCCAGGTATCGTCTACAGACCCGGTGTGAGCTTTCGACCATCTGTGGATCTCCAAGATGCTATTCATGGAATAAATTCAACTTTAAATCACATATGTAACAGAAAGAACTCTACAAAGAGAAAAAAAATGAACCAGTATCATGTACAGATGCAAACTGTAAAATCTTTCCAGCCATGTCAACCACCAAAAGACTTGTTAACGCAAATATGAAATGACCTAAGTTGTGACAGTACACCCTGGATCTTGTGAGCAAATTAAATCCAAGCACTAAAAGGAAATTCTGTCATAACTACCTCAGTGCTCATAGCTGGCTTCCATGCTAGGAAAGAACTGAAGAAGAAAAACAGACTATCTGATAATTAAAGGGAGGTTTCCAATTGCTTTAGTCTCGACTCCATTTATTATCACGGAAATTAGATGCTGGGGGAGAGGCGTTTGCTTGATGATACAGCTTTATTAGGTGTCTTTAAATGTAAAACCAATATCGCCACCTAGTGGCAATCCCAGTCACCAGCTAAACAGGTGGTCTAAACGGCAAACTGTAAATGCAAAGGACAATACAAATTAAGTAGAAGCATACTGAAACTAAACAGAAGCACAGAATAAACTGCTAGAAAAGTTCAACACTTTAGAGAAATAGAAATGTTTTCTAACCTTTCTAGGAAAGGTTACCGCAAGCAGAACACTGAACATGGTCGAACCATATTACAGTGTGTAACCAGGATGTTACATTCTTATGTTTTATACTGACCTCAGAGAACTTTAGAAAAGAGAGACACAGGGGCTTCCCTGGTGGCACAGTGGTTAAGAATCCGCCTGCCAATGCAGGGGACACAGGTTCGAGCCCTGGTCTGGGAAGATCCCACATGCCGCGGAGTAACTAAGCCCACGCACCACAACTACTGAGCCTGCGCTCTAGAGCCTGCAAGCCACAACTATTGAGCCCTCGTGCCACAACTACTGAAGCCCACGCACCTGGAGCCTGTGCTCCGCAACAAGAGAAGCCACCGCGATGAGAAGCCCACGCACCGCAACAAAGAGTAGCACCCTCTTGCCACAACTAGAGAAAGCCTGTGCACAGCAACGAAGACCCAACGCAGCCAAAAAATAAAAAATAAATAAATAAAACACACATGAATCTGCCTCTACAAAAGGGAAGGTATTTCTGGGAACAAGGTACAGAGATATATGTGCCCTTAATTCATACATGAATTCAAACGATACATAACTCTGTCCTGATATCATCACTGATTCACAGTTTGGGGTAACAGACAAGGCCCAACTGAGCTAAATTCCATGAATGCTCACCTGAACCCCACTGCAGGACTACGTGGGGCCCTGCTCCCCAACCCCCGCAGAGGCCTCTACCAGAGCCCACGGAGGAACCCCAGCCTGTCAAGGTCGCTGTAGGACTTCCTCTCTGATGGACTCTGAAAAGGTTTAGTAGAAGAAAATCTCCAAAGTTGGGTTTCCAGACAGAGGGGAACTTAAAACTCATCAAGCTGCTCCTATCTCCAAGTACCCCACCCCCCGCAAAAAAAAACAAAAAAAACCACCACCTGTCTATAGCCTGCAACACTTTCCTCTCCCTTGAGAAGGTATGAGGAACCAAGGGTCTGTCCTTGTGGGGACGTGGGGAGGGTGGATGAATTTCATACGTAAAGCATTCAAAGATTAAGCACAGTAAGCTTTACTGTCAGCAGTGCCTTAACCTTGAATACCATTACAGTTGTTCATTTTTCCATTGATATTTCCAACCCTTTATTTCCCAGCTCCCACCAACAGAAAGAAGCTGTCTGTCAAACACACAGGTCTCTTGTCAGAGAGCTCTTGATGGCTTTTACCTCCAGACAGCACTTCTGTCTTGAAGGCCACAGCCATACAGTGGAGCGGGCTGGGAGGAATTTCTTTGCTTGGCTAAAAAAGAAAGCTCCTATGTGGCAGCACAAGAAGGTAGATCTTCCTTTGCCCCAAACCTCCAGCATCATTCAGAACAGATTTAAACTCAGTTCACGCCTATTTTAAACATCATTAAAGTGTACCTGGACGTGTCAATCTTTCTCTCCATAATCCTTCTTGGATATTACATTATAAATCAAATCAAAAGTTCCATTAATAAGATCCAATTAAAAAACAGATTAAGAAACTCACAGAAGAAGCACCGCACTAAGGTTAATGAAAGTGTTATTTCAACATCGAAATTGCCTTAGAACTTGTTACCAAAATTTTGAACATTAATTATCTTTGCTATTTTAAGCTCTGCCTTTACAAAGTTATTTCTTCCACTTTCTTCTATCATACTTTATGATGAAACCATGATAGTCCTATACATTTATATAATTCTCTTAAAATATATATATAATAATTTAGAATATGATGCTTTGAGCATTAGAAATTAACTAGAGCATTTTAAACAATACAGTCCATATTAAGCCAGCAAAACAAATAAGGTATTTTATCTAAATAAAATTGATCATCTATGGACCAAGAGATTTGGAAAACATAAATGAATCAAGAAATAAGTAATTATCTGACATTCCAAGTCATTTCTACATACCTGTGTAAGATCTGCAGCTTGCTTTAAGATGCTTTGTTTTAACTGTTCTGCTTTCTTTGCATGAAAAGAATTACTTTGACTCTGGATGACAAATGCAATTCCTTTCAAATCTAGAACAACAACAAAAAGTTTTCAGGTGTTTTTTTAACAACAACTGAAATAAACTTGAAAACAAGTCAAAAAAAAAAACCACCACAAGGCAAGCCTTCAGGCAATAAACTCTTAGGGAAAAAAATCAATTTATATGTAATTCTAATAACAAAATCTCCCTTTTTAAACTGATCTCTGCAACTTCCTTCCTAGAAGTTAGTGAGTAAATAAGCTTGCTGTACTAGACCAAGTCTGTGGTAACAAACTGTGACTTTGCTCCTGCATCTGTCACAAAGTATGCAAATGTTAATGCGGGAAAGAACACTCACTTCCCTAGTCACTGAAAATACAATGTTTGCAAGAAGGCTTTTAACAATTCACACATAACCCTACAGTGTGTCTACCTGTTAGGGGCTGCATTGTGTCCCCCAAACTTCACGTGCTGAAGTCCTCACCCCCAGCACCTCACAATGTGACCTTATTTGGAATTGGGTCTTTACAGAGGTCATCAAGTTAAAGTGAGGTTACTAGTATAGGTCCTAATCCGATATACAGTACTTGGCATCTTTATAAAAAGAGGAAATCTGGGCAAGAGACACACAGAGGGAGGATGCTGTGAAGGCACAGGGAGAGGACGGCCACCTGCAAGCCAAGGAGGAGGGCCCCTGAGGAAACCAACCCAGCCTCCAGAACCGGGAGACAAACGTCTGTTGAACCCACACGGTTTGTGGCACTTAGTTTCAGCAGCCCTAGCAAGCTAACACTCTACCTCAAGCATATTCTGGACAGCCCTTCAAGGTGACGCTCAGCAAGGACCTCACAAGGCACCTGGCCAGGATGCAGTGTTATCTCCAGGAAAACAGCCACGATTCCACACAGCAGGGCCGTGGCGGGAAGGGCTGCATAAAAGCCTGTCAGCTACACTGGCCATATTTGCCGCCAGCTAAGACTGGCTTTGGGGCAGCCGGTGTCTTGACAGGGTTCAGACCAGGGGAGACCACAGAGGTCTTGCCGCAGAGGGAGCTGCTCAGGCCCCGCACCAGGGAAGCACATCAGGCCTGCCCAGGTTCTGAGCTCGTGATAAAGAAAAGAAACTGCCGTTGTGTCAGGACACTGTCACCAGACAGGGGTGTTGGCCGAAGGCAGATGTCACAAACTTTTTGCCTCCAAGCAACATGGATGGACCTGGAGATGATCATACTAAGTGAAGTAAGTCAGACAGAGAAAGACAAATATATGATATCACTTATATGTGGAATCTAATAAAAAAAATACAACTGAACTTATTTACAAAACGGAAATAGACGCAGACTTAGAGAATGAACCCCTGGTTACGGGGCGGGGGGAGGGTTGGGGGGAGGGATAGACTAGGAGTTTGGGGTTGACATGTACACGCTGCTATATTTAAAATGGATACCCAACAAGGAGTACTGTACAGCACAGGGAACTCTGTTCCAGTACTCTGCAATAACTTAAACGGGAAAAGGATTTGAAAAAGAATAGACACATGTATACGTAAAACTAAATCACTTTGCTGTACACCTGAAACACAACACTGTTAATCAACTATACTCCAATATAAAATAACATTTTTTTAAAAATTTAAATTTAAATTTAAAAAACTGTAGCCTCCAGCAGGCTGACAGTAAATGAATGTGAGGACCCTCCCCCCACCAGGAGCTTTTCACTTTAACCCCTCGACTCAGGGCCGCTAACTTGGTTTTAATTTATTCCATTATATTTTATCGTTCTCATGTTCAGTTCTATAGTTCCATTCATTTATTCACTCAATATTCATATGACAAATAGCTCCACAGTGAGCAGTCCAGATCCTAAAAATAATCCAAAATGCTCTCTGGTTAAAACTCAACAAAAAATTTAAAAGGAAATGCTGAACAACCTGCTGAATATGACCTCATTCTTTCTTTGTCGGAGTTTATATGAATATGAACCCTCCACACACTGATCTCTGTTTTAAGTCAGCTTCTTGGCTCTATAAATCAGACACACAGATAAGGCTCAAACGGGTACCTTCTACTTCAGCTGAAATGTAACCTTCGATCCACTACATCTGAAACACTAAAGTAACTGACTTATCAAAATGAAAAATATTTATTTTTTTAAGACTGGAGTCATTAAGCCTCAGAGAATAATTTTTGCAAAATTTAATAAAGTTAAAGATGCATATGTGCAATGACCCAGAAACTCCAGCCTTATTAGCCATCCTTGAGAAACTCTCAATGCGTGTACAAGGGTGTGTCACAAGAGTGCTCACAGCAGCACTGTGTGAAAAGAAAAAACTGGAAGCAAACCAGATACCCACTAACAGGATACACAAATTGGACTACTACACAGCAATAAAGATTAACTGATACTACGCGGATCAAGCCAGATGGATACTGGAGATGAACCCTACAGAGAGAATGCTGAAAAAAGCAAGGCACAAGGGAATAACCATACAGTATAAATCAATGGTTTACAAAAATATAAACACAAATATATAAAAAATGGATATATACCATATATATGCATGGATACATAACGAATATGATGTGAAAGTATAAAAGACCACAGGAGAATGACAGACACCAAATCAAGATAATGGTTTAAATGCTATAGCTGTGTTAGGAATATCTTATTTCTTAATCTGAGTGGTAGATACACGATGTTACTCTTTGTAGCTTCCTGTATGTTCAAAATAATTCATAATAAATTTTTTAAAAGAGCAGCTCAGACTTCCCTGGTGGCGCAGTGGTTAAGAATCCTCCTGCCAATGCAGGGGACACAGGTTCAAGCCCTGGTCCGGGAAGATCCCACATGCCACGGAGCAACTAAGCCCATGTGCCACAACTACTGAGCCTGCACTCCAGAGCCTGAGAGCCACAACTACTGAGCCCGTGTGCCACAACTACGCAAGCCTGCGCACCGACAGCCCGTGCACCGCGGCAAAGAGTAGCCCCGCCTCGCCACAACTAGAGAAAGCCCGCACGCAGCCATGGAGACCCAGCGCAGCCAAAAAATAAATTAAAAAATATATTTTTAAAGTTAAAAAAAAAGAGCAGCTCCATCTGTCAAAAGATTAACCCTGCAGGAATCAACTCCCACCACCTTCTCTACCAGATCAGCAAAGTTCCCACTGTTGGCACAGAAGCAGCTCTTTGGTGTGGGCAAGAGGCTTGGGGAGAAGAAAAAAAGCAAATTCTTCCCCTTTTCATATCTGAGTCCTGTGCTATTTCCTCTGCTCCTGAGAGATCATCCCCTTCCTTTATCAAGTGCTTGGATCTCGCATGCTGTGTGCACTCATTCAGCAAACATCTCCAAGCCTCTCCTAAGCACGAGGATCCAGGATACACAAAGGAGCAAGCGTGACCCCAGCACAGGAGTCTAGCTCAGAAGACGCCATCACAGCACAAGGCTGTGGGTGTCAGTGCAGAGCCAAGCGGGGACCCTGGGGGCACAGAGGAGAGCCAGGGCAGGGAGAGCTTCTGGGGAGGGGTGTTCCCTGCGTTTCCTCTAAAATGCAGCAGTGGGACTTCCCTGCTGGTCCACTGGTTAAGACTCCACACTTCCACTGCAGGGGCCATGGGTTCCATCCCTAGTCGGGGAACTAAGATCTCACATGTGCACAGTGCAGCCAAAAAAATAAAATATTAAAATTAAAAATTAACATAAAAATAAAAATAAACATTTAAAAAGTAAAAAAAAATAAATAAAACACAGTTTTCTACAGACTCAGGCACAGAAGGTAGCAGATCAGTGGCAGAAAGAAGAGAGTTATCACAGAGCCCACAGTCCACCTTATCTTGGTAACAGCCCTGAGAGGTGACCAGAGAGTTTATCAGGCATTTCTGAGAAAAGGATGAAGGGAACAGTCAGTGATAAAGTTAGAGAGGAAGGCTGCGTCAGCCAGATCAGATCAGGAAGGATGTATGTGCCACGCAAAGAGGCCAGGTCTATAGATTAACAGCTTTCAAACTGGGGAAGGGCCCCAGAGCGCTCTGGGATCCCAGATAGCAGGGCCTCCCCAGAGGATGTGATGACGACACCAAGTCCTGGGAACACCCAGGGACAACTTTTCCAACAGAGAGAGCAGTGAAGGTTTGGGACAGCAAATGGAGTGTTGGGCCCTGAAAGTATTACAGTTAGGGGTGGCTGTACAGGGAGGTAAGGAACGGCATGTGTGTGCTGGAGTTACCTATATGAGGCAAAAGCGGAAAAGTGTACCCAGGTCCTACAACCCTGACACAATGAACGACGACCACGTTCAGCCCTACCCCCATTCCAGAAAAGAACCAGCATAGTACAGTTTGGTTCTTAAATTCCT